TTCTTCTTGTTCTTGATTTTTACTCCCACCATTTCATATAAATTTAATAATAATAATACATTATAATTATTGTTGTTTCTGGGGGGTTTTGTGTTAATGTTGTTGTTGTTATATTTACCTCTGACATATTATATTACTCCGGTTCATTTCCTAAGGTTCTACGGACAGAAACAAAGGTAGGCTTACCCACACATGAACAAAACATACAGTAGGCCTACATCAACAACAACAACAACAACAACAACAACAACAACAACAACAACATAACAACAACATAACAACAACAAAAATAACAAGAACAACAACAGCAGAAGCAACGACGACGACGACGACGACGACGACAACAACAACAACAACAACTTTATATCGGAATAAATGCTGATCACATTTAGGCCTACTGACGGATTTTTTATAAGGTGGGTGGCACAACATTCATTTGTCGTAAACATTCAACAGCAATTGAATGACAAAAAAACTAAAAGTACATGAAGAAACGAACTTATTGACCCAGAACAAAATCCCCATAATATCTAGAGTCTACATTAATACCAGACTAACCGAAATACGAACTTGTGTATTGAAACAGCACGAACTTAAAACAACATAACATCAACACAGTAGATACAATCTATAATTATTAGTTATTATATTATTAAGTCCCACGCCTTCTGTAAAGTTAGTGGTCTAATAAAAGCAGAAACCCAACATCCAAAACTACAAGGAGAAAATGGCGTTTACTTACTTCAATCATCCAGCGCGCTGAGCCCAGTTTCTCAGCAAAATGATGTTATCTACCACAACCAAAGCCACAATCACGCAGGGGCTAGGCCATGGGCCAGGCAAGAAGTCTGTTGATCCACTCGCTCCTCTGAAGGTTAGCCAAGCAAACAACTAGGCCTTAGTTCAGCATTCAATGCTGCTGCGCCTTTATTTGTGTGGCACTAGAGCTACTTCGAGCAAACCCAACATTAATGTCTCTAGCCTACACTGTGATAGCCCTGAACCTCGGACGAACTTTGGTCGATCTACTGATATGTGTGTGTGCGCGCGCGCGCGCATGTGTGTGTGTGTGTGTGTGTGTGTGTGTGTGTGTGTGGCCTATGTGTATGTCGCAAGACCATAACATGAATTACAAAGCAGGCAGGCAACTAGTAGATCTAGAGCAACCCGTTACATAGGTTGCATCAGTCTGAGTGACGTGGCGATAGGGGCATGTTGGCCTGAGGCCTGACAAACAGGTGTCGCGATGGTTATAAATATAGAAAATCTAATGCAGTTACTGTGTCAGAAAGGTAGTGTTAGCGGTAGATGTAGATTATAGGCCGAAGTACTAAGTAGAGCGGTGAAATACAAAATACAAAGCATGAAGACAAGATAAAAGAAGGTCAAGTAGGTAGACAAATAAATAGATAAGACACACACAAACACACACACACACACACACACACACACACACACACACACACACACA